ACTTTGGGTCGACTAGTCTCTTCTTCTCTTGGTGCTGTCCGGCGACCACAGTACCTCGAGCCCCACGTTGGGCGCCACTTGACCTGTCCAGCAGGCCAGGTTATTAAGTTACCACAGAGCTGCCTCCTGAAGCTCCCGTTGGTCCCTTGGCCCCCAAGTGCCTCTCTGTGTCCCTGTACATACATGACCATGTCAACTCACCCCAGACCATGAGTTCAGGTGACTAAAAATTTGCCCTCTGCTGGTGGCAAGCATTTGGTCTTTCTTAGCTTTCTTGAATGGAGGATCTCCTTCACTGAAAATTGAACAGGAAGAGATTAGGGCAGAGCAGTGATGACGGTGAGCCCAGCCACGGTGTTAGATTGGAAGGGGACAGCTTGCAGATTCAATGTCTTCCTTTGCACTGAACAGGAAGAACAACCTACAAGACACCAAGTGTGTAGCATGGGCAGGATTGCCTCTTCTGGCATGAGGCAGAGAGAGGAGAACTCCCCAAGCTCTTTCTCGGCTGTTTCCATAGTACCAAAGCCAAACTGAAAAATCATTTTTCAGGGCAGATGTCTAGCATTTATTTCTAGTTTATATGTATCATTCATAGGTGTGCCCTGCCTCTTCTATTACCTAGCTCCACAAACTTATCTTAATTGAAATCCATACGGTTGTTTTACCTTTCCCGGTGACTTCTCTCTCTGATGAATCCTACTGTATACTTTTCTGCAGTGTTCGGGGCTCTGTGGTTTGTCAGCATTTCATCTCAGTCCTAGACACAGCCAGAAGCCTTGGGACACTGCTCTGTCTGCTCCAGCATTGCCTCTCCTTTCTTTCTCTTTGTCCTTGGCACCTGTAATTTCCTCTTCTATTTTCCTTCCAGACCCCAAACACCACAGCAATCAGCAAAATCTCAAGAATGATGAAAGCCACAGGAGGGTTTCCCTCTGACCAGAGGCTCTGAAGGTAGAGGAGGAGGAGGAGGGGGAGGAGAAGGAGGAGGAGGAGGAGGAGGAGCCCAGTGCGCTCACTTCCGGAATACCCCATCCTTCTTCCCATCTTTCCACTCAGTGAGCAGCCCCACTGCCCTGACATAGGAGCAGTTTCACCTGCTGGTGTCCAAAAGTGGCTCACAGTGAGGAGCACTCTACCAGCGTCAGCCATTGTCATCTTGGACCCACCCTCACACAGCGATGGCATTTTCTCTCCCTTTGCCTCCTCCTGCTGTTCCTCGGGCTGGGGACCATCCCTTGCCTGTGCACAGCAGTTTTTCCCAGCATCTTCTGGACTCATCGTGAGGATAAGAAGGGGAACCTAGATCTGGAGAGAAATGCCACTCGTCTGAGACCTGGATGGGTTTTTCTAGAAGTGTTCTACCCAGCAGCTCCAGAGGAAAAAGCACCCACCTGCAGGAATGGGGAGAAGGCTTCTTTTCTTTTCCCACAAGATAGAGAACTGACTGTGACTCACAGTTACAGAAGACCCGAAACCTATACTACAAATCAGAGCAAAAATAGCTGGGCAATTAAGAGCACTGGCTGTTTTCCTGCAGAGGACCTGAGTCTGATTCCCAGCACCAACATGGTGGCTCACAACCAACTATAACTCCAGTTCCAGGGAATCTGGTATCCTCTTCTAGCCTGTGAGGGCACCAGGCGTGCACCTAGTACACAGGCATACATACAGGCAAAGCATCCATAGAAATCAAATAAAAATAATTTTAAAAAATAATAAAAGATCAGACCAAAGCCTGCCGTGTGCTCTCTATCTGAGTGTGTCTGCCCCTGGGTCATGGAAGGGCAATAGGAAAAAGTCAGAAAAAAAAGCTAATATTTAAATTCCTCTTATGGTATTTTATTCCTATCTAAGCCATGTGGTGGTGTCTCATAGAACACTAAACTTCCATGCCTAAACCAGTAACTTCTTAAATTAACTACTGTTCTATTGTTTTGACTAAACAGCCTGACCAAGGTAACTTACAAAAGAAAGCATTTAATCTGGAGCTCGTGGTTCCCGAGGATGAGTCCATGGCCATCATGGTTGGAGGGAGCATGGCGGCAGGTGGGCAGACAGGCATGGAGCTGGAGCAGTAGCTGAGAGCTCACACCTGATCTACAAGGATGACACACAGAGAGAGCTAAGTAGGAAGTGCACACCCTTTTGAATCCTCAAGGTCCAACCACACCAGTGACACACTTGTTCCCAAAAGGCCACACCTCCTAATCCTTCCAAACAGTTCCACCAACTGGGGACTAAGCACTCAATCTTATGAGCCCTGTCTATCTTGTTCAAAACGCCACTCTCTTTGTAATTCTTCTCTAAATGTGCTTTTTAATGCCCTAGTGGAGATTCCGTGAACAACAAAAGCAGCTGCATGATTCCACAAGGAGTCCCTTTGGCTTTTGTTTTTTATTGGCAATCCATTCGTTTTCTCTTACTGTCACATCTCATCATCATGTCCTTACAAACAGAACCTGCCAGTGGACCAATGTAACCAGCACCCACATAAAAACAGCAATGTCAGGATGCTGTATCCTGCAGGAAGGACCCAGAACATGTTGATTTTTTCCAAGAAATTATTTTTTTATTAGTTCAAATTAGAAAGAAGCCTGCTTCATGTGTCAATCCCTTTTCCCTCTCCCTTCCCTCCTTCCCCACCCCCACCATCCCCCACCCCATTCCCCTCTGTTCCTGAGGGAGGGTAAGGCCCTCCCTGGGGGATCCCCAAAGTCTGGCATATCATCCTGGGCAGGGCCTAGGCCCTCCCCCATGTGTCCAGGAGAGAGCGTCCCTCCATGTGGAATGGGCTCCCAAAGTCCTTTCTTACTCCAGGGATAAATACTGATCTACTACACAGAGACCCCATAGAGTTCGAGGCCTCCGCACTGGCATCCACATTCATGGGTCTGTATCACTCCTGTGCTGGCCTCTGAGACATCAGTCTGGGGTCCATGTGCTCCCCCTTGTTCAGGTCAGCTGTTGCTGTGGGTTTCACCAGCCCGGTCTTGACCCATTTGCTCATCACCCCTCCCTCTCTGCAACTGAGTTCCAGAGTTTAGTTCACTGTTTAGCTATGGGTGTCTGTCTCTGCTTCCATCAGCCACTGGATGAGGGCTCTAGGGTGGCATATAAGGTAGTCATCAGTCTCATTATAGGGGAAGGGCATTTAGGGTGGCCTCTCCACTATTGCTTAGATTGCCAGTTGGTGTCATCCTTGTAGATCTTGGACATGCTGATTTTCAGGGTGCATTTGAGTTCACCTTTAAGCACCATCTTTCCTAAGTTGGGGAACAGAGTGGTCTAGTGGGAGGTCCTGCAAACATTGGGGAAGAGATGACAAGGAGACTGCCAAGGTAAGAGGGGCGTGGCTAAGGGGTTCATGGTGGTGCTAAGAAATGGTCTCCTGGGGCTCTCAGTACCTTTCTCAAAGGATGCCAGGGACACCCTTTTCACTCACACAAAGAGATTCTGATTCCCTTTTCCAGAGACATCCCTGAACAGGTCACTAGTCTTCCCATGGCCTCTCTAATCCCTGGGGGAGAACATGTTATCCCATAGATCAAGACAGGGGAGGCAAGATGCAAACGGAGAGAAAAATGGCAGTTTCAAGCTGGTTCAGCCTCCTTGAATTTTCTCCCACACCTTCCTCTGTGAAAAAGGACTCTGATTGGCCTCTACCTACCCCAGATTCATGCTGTGAACCTCTGAGAGGCTCATGCAAAACTCGCATTGTCTAAGTTCTTAGAGAGATGAAGGCTTCTGGGTATCGCTCACTACCTCAGAGAGGCAGTTAGACAAGGTAACCCTGCCCTGCCTCCCAGCTCACCTTCTCGGCTCTCCTATAAGTCTTGATGGAGATGCTTCAGGAGGCTAAGGGTCTGGGAGGAGGGCTTAGGTGCACATTTAAGAGATTCAGAGAACTGGAGGCAAGATGCTCCTCCCAGGAAACTCCAGGAGTCAGCCCACCTGCCATCCTCCAGACAGTTTCAAAACCAAAAGTGAAAAAAGATTAGAAGAGAACTTCAACACAGACAACAGAATAGCAATAATTACATGGTTATGAGGTGCAGCCAAGAGCTGGAGCAACTGGTTTCTTTCTAAACTGGTTGTGTTCCAGTTAGTAACATAGGTCTTGGACTCATAGGACCTCATGGTTTGGGTTAATCTTCTGATTCTCATTCACCCAGGCCTAGAAATTTCCTTCATGGGCATTGATCAACTCTGTGTCATCCAGTTGGACTATGTACACAGCACTGACAGCCCTCAGCTGTGCCCTTCCTTCTCACTCCCATGTCATGAGGAAAGAGAGAAAAGCATGCTCTCCTCTAAGCCTGTTAATTCCAGAGCAATCATGTTCCTGCTCAGATGACAGAAAGGGTCAAGAAAGTTGTACTTTGGCTGGAGGGATGGCTGCATACTACTCCAGGGGATCTGAGTTCGATTCCCAGCATCCACACCTGGAAACTCACAACTGCCTGTAACTACAGCTCCAAGGGATCTAATGACCTCTTCTGGACTCCCAGGACATTTGTGCTCATGTGCACAACACACACACACACACACACACACACGCACACACTCACACACACACACAGAGAGAGAGAGAGAGAGAGAGAGAGAGAGAGAGAGAGAGAGAGAGGAGAGTTCATGCATGGCACAGACACATAATTCAAAATAATTCTTGAAAACGATAGAAAGAGAACACTAGTTTCCGTCCTTGAATTCTAAATCTAAGATTGATCATCCACAAGCAGGTCATAAGAGACATACAAGAATAAAACAATAACAGACTGATGTTTTCTAACAAAACTGGATATTCACAATGCTGACTTAAAAATAAAAACTAAGCTTTGAGGAGAAATCATTTGAAGAAAATGATTCCCTCATAAATGGAGATGTCCACTAAGATTGGGTAACTTTCAGCAGCTGCCAAGAGATGATAACTTACAGTAGAGTATGAAAATGCAAACTTGGGGGTCTGGAGAGATGGCTAGGTGGTTAGGAGCACTGGCTGGCTGCTCTGGCTGAGGACCAGGGTTTAGCTCCCAGCACCCACATGGCAGCTCACACTGCCTGTAACTCAGGTTCTGGGCATCTGACATCCCCTTCTGTCCTCCACAGACTCTGCACACATGTGGTGTCCTCCACAGACTCTGCACACACGTGGTGCACACACATGCATTTGGACAAAGCACCCATACACATGAAATACATTTTAAATGCAAATCTATTGTGAGTTGACAGAGCCCTCTTTTGGTTGTCATTCTGTTTTTTATTTGAGACACAGCCTTGTGAAGTTCATGTAACTGAGGCAGTACGAATTCTGTCAGAAGTCGACATCATGGAGAAAATAGAGGGAGAAGAATGCTTGGTTTTAGTCTCTAACCCAATTAACCATGTGAGTGACCCTCAGACCTGATTGCCTCTCCTGGTAATGTAGGAGGCAGTTTACTGTGAGAAGTCTCCAAACTGCTTTACTGTTGCTTATTTTATGGCTCAGCCCAGTACAAAGTCCCTTGGGCTTTTATTTCCACTCTTGAAGTAACTGAAGAGCTGGAGATGACTGCAGCTTCCTCCTAGACTCCTGGGGGAAACTCAAGCCAGAGCCTGGGGGGAAACCCTGTGTGTCCCCCATGCAAAGAATATCTCTGAAAACCGACACAGCCACACCGTTGAGTGTGCAGGTCACCAGGCCAGGCTTCAGATCACTGAGGATCCCAGGAGCTTCCAGGAACCCAGAGCTCAGTCCAAACGGTGAGTGAGGAGTTTGTGACTGTGAGAAGGTCTGTCCAAGGGAGGTGTGGACCTCAAAAAGGGGGTATTGAAGTCATGAGAATGTTGTGAGAAATGGCCCCTTTATTGGGAAATAAGAGAGTAAATGAATAAATAGAAGAATAAATAAATAAATAAGAGTGAAGACAGACTGGATGCGTGGGTAATCCACTTCCTCC